GGGCGGGGGTGCGGGCAGGGAGCTGGTGGATCTGAAGATAATTTGGAACAAGACTAAGCACGACGTGAAGGTCCCTTTGGACAGCACGGGTTCCGAGCTAAAGCAGAAGATTCACTCCATTACAGGTATTCTAGCAGCTGACAACCAACTACCTGCAGCCACCCCACCCCCCTCCAGTTCGTATTGCTTACGTTGTGCTAGACTGCTTGTGTTTTCCTTTCATGGACTCCCCATATCCTCACTGCAGTTTTCTGAAGTCGGTATTTGCATGTCCATTATTAATCAGAGAGGGAAAATTGGACCCTTGATGATACAAAGCTACCAAGTGGTGAAGCTGAAACTGATTAGGCGCAGCCTTCTAACTAATAATGGACTGTGATTGCTAGTAAAAATCTCCCGCGGCATTTATTAAATTTACAATTCCTGGGCAGTAACTGTGGAGATTCTGAGTGGGTCTAGGATGTAGCCACGGATTTATTTTTAGCAGATAGGTGGGTTTTGTAAGGGAAATTCATGAAATGTTACTATTAACAGTCATGGTGGACCTTCGCAACTATTTATATTTGGTCATTTTATTTGTACTGGTTTGCTGTTTAAAATTCTTTCCAGGCGTAGGTGGCAAATGCTTTTAATCCCAGCACTCAGGAGACAGAGTCAGGCAGCTCTCTGTGAGTTCAAGGCCAGCTTGGACTACAGAGCAAGTGCCAGGATTGGCTCCAAAGCTACACAGAGAAACCCTGTCACAAAACAAACAAAAAAACAAAAAAATTTTCTTAGGCTTTTCCCATATAACCTGTAAGTGCCATAGAAAAGTAACTTATTGAAGCTTCTGTAACCCTGACACTGGGACATTCTCACTATTTAAGTGAGAACAAGGTTGAGGAACAACTTGGAAAGAATGATAGCTAAAATACATTGAACAATTCTAAATACCGTAAGTCTATTAGAAGGACCAAGTTTGACCAATCAAATAATCCTGATGGTCTGAATTCCCCCAAGTTCACAGAGCTGATAGCTGTTGGAACCCATATTCACTTCCTGTTTCATTACAGAAAGGTTATGGTCCATACATTTCCTGCTTATTTCTTTCACTGCCTTCCACTTTTTATCAAGGTCTCCCACCTGCCATGCAGAAGGTCATGTATAAGGGACTTGTTCCTGAAGATAAAACGTTGAGAGAAATAAAAGTGACCAGTGGAGCCAAGATCATGGTGGTTGGCTCTACTATAAATGATGTTTTAGCAGTAAACACCCCCAAAGATGCTGCCCAGCAGGATGCAAAGGCTGAAGAAAACAAGAAGGAGCCCCTCTGCAGGCAGAAGGTGAGTCCCTTGTGTTCTTGCTTATTGGTCCTGGGAAGTTGGAGGCTGGTTACATTCTCCCTAGAATAAGCTCCTTTTTGGACAGGGCCCATGATGGAAATTTATGGAGCAGTTGGGTGCAGCAGAGTGGAGTTGACAGCTACCTGAAATATGCAACTTTGTCATCTGGCTGGTCAGTGTGTCTTAGTCTTCCTGCTTTAGGATAAGGCCTTTGTAAAGGGAGACTTGAGCTAGTTAGCAAATGGAACCAGAGGTGGGTTTATTTTATTTAGTGCCAGAGAATATGACCAATGTTAGAATTAATCCCTTATTCCTTACAACTGCTCACATTTGGGGTGAGTGTGTGTGTGAGTGTGTGTGTGTGTGTGTGTGTGTGTGTGTGTGTGTGTCTTAAGTTAAAAAAAAAAAATTCTGGATAGGTATGGAAGTCAACAGATATCAGAGGTTCCCTAGAACTGACCATTTCAGGAACATAAACCAAACTGAATAAGAAGATATTGACACTTTTTTTTTGTTTTGTGTGTTTTGTGGCCCTTCTCCATGATGTAGTCTAAATTTTTATATTATCTCTTGTGTGTGTGTGTGTTTGTTTGTTTGGTTTTTCGAGACAGGGTTTCTCTATGTATCTTTGGAGCTTTTCCTGGCACTTGCTCTGGAGACCAGCCTGGCCTCGAACTCACAGAGATCCACCTGCCTCTGCTTCCCAAGTGCTGGGATTAAAGGCTTTGCCACCAACGCCCGGCTAGGGTTTCACTCTTAAGCACTGACTGACCTGAAGCTAGATCTGGGTACTAGGCTATCCTCGACTTTGTACAGTCCTCTTGTCTCTGTGTCCCTAGTTCTGAGTTTGCGCCAAGCCTGTTTATAGGTATGTGTTTGTGTGTGCATGATACAGAGGACTGAATCTAGTGTCTTGTTCGTGGTAGTAGGCAAGAACTCTACACTGAGCTACCCCCTTCCAGCCCCTTACCAGGTATTTTTAATTTAATTTGTGTCCTGGCCAGACTAGATCTGACTTAGTTACAGGGCCAGTAGACACAAAAGGCATAGTTCCAACAGTGGGAGAAAGATGGTTTTGTTGTTAGACATCTATAATCCATGTTTACTTCTAACCAAAAAAAAAAAAATTTTTTTTTTAAATATTTGGCAGCAATTTAACAGAATTGTGGGGACAGTTACACTTTTTTAAAAATGATTTTTAAAAAAGATTTCTTTATTTACTTATTTATGTATGAGTGCCCTGTCTTCATGTTCCTCTGCTCACCAGAGGAGGGCATTGGATCCCATTATAGATGGCAGTAAGCCAGCATGTGGTTGCCAGGAACTGAACTCACTACCTCTGGAAGAGCAGCCAGAGTGCTCTTAACCACTGAGCCATCTCTCTAGCCCTTCTTAACATTTTTGTTTGTTTGTTTGTTTTTCGAGACAGGGCTTCTCTGTGGCTTTGGGGGCTGTCCTGGGACTAGCTTTTATAGACCAGGCTGGTCTCAAACTCACAAAGATCCGCCTGCCTCTGCCTCCTTGCGTGCTGGGATTAAAGGCTTGTGCCACCACCGCCCGGCTAAAACTGTGTTATCTTTTGCCTGGTCTACAGAGTGAGTTCCAGGACAGGCTCCAAAGCAATACAGGAAAACCCGTGTCCAAAAACCAAAACAAACAAACAAAAACTATGTTATCTTTACAAAATCCCCAAAACTCTGAAGTTCAAAACATCTTTCCATAGGGTATTTGCTTTGTGTTGTATTTGCTAGGGATTGAACCTGGGACCTTGTCAAGACATAAACACATGCTCTCCCACAGAGCAGCACCTCTATAGAGTTTTAGATAAGTGTTGTAAAGTTGAATTGTCATCTAAAAACAAATATTTGTATGAGCCATTTTCACCCCTAAATATGGGGCCTAATTTCCTGTAACCCATTGAGATCATTCATATTTTCTGTCTTCCCCTGCCACATTTATGAAGGAAATGTGAGTATTTTCTCCTGTCACATCCTTAGTGTATAATCTGCCTTGTAAATACAGGTTTGGGTTATTAATGGTAGCTTAACAGGCTTACAACCATTCACCACTGCCCTGCACAATTCTCCCACAGGTACTTATAAGGCATGACTCAAATATACTTCCATTCTGTGGTGCTTTGCTTTGTTGATGCCACTGGTTTCGAGGCATAGCACGACGTAAGGAAGCTCCACTCCCTCATTAGGCTTTTGATCAGTGTATTCAGAATCTGAGGCTGATGTCAGCAGCAGCCCATTGCTAGCAGTCCCTTCCACAGTGTTCTTCTATGCCATTGAAGGTTTGAGTTAGCTCGTTGCCAGTTAGTGCTTGCATTTGACTAAGTTTTTACCCTTGGCCCATTTATTGGCCTATAGTTGCAGCTTTACCAAGCAGCTACTGTACCTGTAAAGCCACAGTGTAAGAAGAGGAGATGAAGGCATTTAGGGACTGTGAGTTTGGAACTCTTGAGTCCTGGAGTAAGTAGAGGGCAGGGATAGTGGGCTTGGAGGCTTCTTAGTGGTAGGGCATGGGGTGGGGTCAGCATTTCTGTTTTCAAAATGTGGCTCCTTGTGTATTCTTTGTCCCTGGGTTGAGTTTGTAGCAGAGGAAGACTTCTGCCATTTTCTGGCTCCATAATAATGCAGAAATGACCACAAGTATAGATACGCAGGCAGCTCTTATTTTCTTTGGAGTTGAAAAACACAGATGTTCTCTTTTCTGTCTGTTAATTTAATGGTTAGTTTTTCCACTGGAGAGATGGGAGTAAAACATTTGAATTAGTAACAACTCCTGCTTAATCTGTGGAACTTTTATGTTTAATATGGTGGCTATGTATAGGTACTTAAGCTTAAATAAAATTGAGAAGTCACTTTTTTATGTTGGTAGCCATATTAGTCAGAGGCCAGTGGCTAGCATAGGTAAAGGAACATTTCATTATCAACATAAACTCTCTTGAACACATTTGCTCTGCAGTGTCAAAGGTTCCATAGTTTGTTGATACTAAAAGCTTTCAAACAGACATTAAGGCTGCTTCATCCTGTCTATCCAAGAGATAGAAATCTGGCACACATGTAGTATGCTGTCTCATTTTCCTCTTTTTCTGGCTTATATTGTAGCAACACAGGAAAGTTTTGGACAAAGGAAAACCTGAAGATGTGATGCCATCTGTTAAGGGTGCCCAGGTAAGCTGGCATGCTTTTTGAGGCCTTAAAAGGAGCCAGTTCCATAGTCTAAAATTCCTATAATCATGGCCTCAAGTTCTGTCTCATTTCCCTCTCACTGTCCTACTGTCCTACCCTCCCTTTCTCACTGTGTTCTTGTGCTTCCAGGAGCGTCTGCCAACGGTACCCTTGTCTGGCATGTATAATAAGTCTGGAGGGAAAGTGAGACTCACTTTTAAGCTAGAGCAAGACCAGCTGTGGATCGGCACTAAAGGTACTCTAGTTCTCTCAATCTGCTTGGCATCCCAGCACCCTGCCTGCACTGGCCCTTCACTACTGCGATTCTGCCTTTCATTTGGAGCCCCTCTCCCCACTGTGCTTCGTCTTTACATGATTGCCTGTTGTTTGGCCCCATCCCCCTCTTTCTTTTCAGTCTGAGCTCAGAGATCATCCTTCAAATTTTGGCCCTTAAGTTAACATACAAACCAAGAGGTTCCAAGCATATGACCTAAATCTGGTCCTTAGCCAAGGGATGGCTGTATATATATATATATATATATATATATATATATATATATATTATGATATGATATGATATGTATATATTGTACAAGGCAGACTTCTCTGAAATAATGGAGAGCTTCTGTTGGAAACTATCAGAAGATCTGGCAGTGGCGTCTGCACTCTTCATGAGGCATTGAGGAGCTGTGACTAAGCAGTGTATTCACCACCAACCTTATGGCCCCATCTAATGTTTAGTTAGCTTTGCTCATGGTACCTATGTGACCCCTCCCTATTGGTCAGTTTGACCCTAAGAATGAAGTTTGTCTAATTGCCACCAAGAATTTTCCTTTTGCCTGCTGATTGTCCTATATACATCCTCATCCCTTGTCAACAATGTCCCACCTGTGCAGAGTCTCTGGTTCATTCAGCCTTGCTGTTTCTGGGAAGTATCTCTGACCATCCCCACTCAACCTGGTGCTTACCTAATTTTATTTATTTATTTATCTATCTATTTTTGATGTAGGGCTTTTCTGTGTAATACTGGTTGTCTTGGAACTTCCTCTGTAGACTAGGTCAGGCTCAAACTCAGATCCACCTGCCTCTGCTTCCTGAGTATTGGGATCATTCCTGGCTGGTTACCAAATCTTGTTGGTAATGCTCCAGAATTGCCCTTTGTCCCTTTCTCTGCCATTTCCCAGTACCGGTAAAGGCTACTAGCATCTTTTTAAAAGTTGCATTAGGAGAAAGTTTCTGTTTACCTGACTCCTTATATCATCTTTGGTCCTCATTGCTGTACTGCTTTTTTGTCTGATTCCTAGGCCTGTAAACCTTTAGTTCTTCTAGGCCAGGTTCGGATGTTTAATTACACCCCATTTTAAATCCATGGCCTGCTCTGTCAGCCCTTGTGTACTTGAGGCACATTCCTGAATTTCCCAGCTCATATTTTACACAGCTCTTGTGTTTGCTGGGCCCAATTCTGTAATGTCTTCTCCTCAATCCTTGGGATTAATAGTCCCCCTCCCCCCCAGGTGCTCTTTTCTAATGAAGCCTTCCTTACATCTTCCTAACCCTCCACTTGAACTTATGTTTCCTTGAGTTGCTTTTGCTCCTCAAGCACTCTTATGTCCCGAGAGCACTCATTACTCTCTGACTTGTCTGTCCCTGTTAGATTCCTGGAGGAACCCGAACATGCCTAATTCACCTGTTTGTGGCCAGCACTGTAGGTGTTCAGTGTTCGAGGTAAATGCCAAAGAGGAGAATAGAGGTCCCATCATCAGAGACTTACTTGTTGTTTCCAAGGGCAGGTTGCAGAAAATGGAACCAAGTTTCACAAAAATAAAACTTGGGCAGGGTGGTGGGGAGTATGGGTTTTTGTTTTGTTTTGTTTTGTTCATTTTGGTTTATTTTCTTTTTTTAAAATATTTTTTTTATTTATTTATTATGTATACAACATTCTGCTTCCATGTATATCTGCACACCAGAAGAGAGCATCAGATCTCCTAAGGGATGGTTGTGAGCCACCATGTGGTTGCTGGGAATTGAACTCAGGACCTCTGGAAGAGCAGTCGGTGGTGCTCTTAACCTCTGAGCTATCTCTCCAGCCCTATTTTGTTTATTTTCAAGACAGGGTTCTCTGTATTGCTTTGGAGTTGTCCTGGAACTTGCTCTGTGGACCAGGCTGGCCTCCAACTCAAAGAGATCTGCCTGCCTCTGACTCCCAAGTGCTGGGATTAAAGGCGTGTGCCACCAACACCCATCAAGGAGTGTGGTTTTTATTATCTAAAACATGAGTCTAGAACACAGATCACTGTTTCAACCCTAGGGAATTCTTAAAAATGAACAGACTGAAGTGTTGACAGTGCTTGGGTTTTCTCATTTTGTGATGATTGGCTATATTCATTTTACAGTCAACCCTTAGCTACATGGTCAGACCAAGTTTTCTGTTTTAAAAGGTTTCTCTTGTATTCCAATGGCTTTTGAAGGATTTGCTAGAATATTCTGTTGTAGAGAGCTTGCCATATCATCTCCTTTGCTAGTGATTAGCTGCCCTGCCTTGTAGACTGTCTTGGTGGTCTTGCTTCATATTCCGTTAGGGGTTTCCTTGCTGATGCACATGGCTCTCTTCTGTAGCTGGTCTTCTCTGCTTGCTGGCAGGCCACCCAGATTCAGAGCAGGTGCCCACGCTGGTCTAGGAAGGCACCATGTCCCCGAGGGTAGGTGCAGGCAAGGGGTTTAGGTAGGGCTGAAGTCTAGTACTTAATGGGTCCCAAGAAGTTGTGTATGTTTGTTTTTGAGGAAACGTTCTGGGCCTTGCCTGGGACTTTTGGTGATCCTCCTGCTTCAGCCTCATGAGTACTGGATTTAGGCATAAGCTATCATACCTGGCTTAGAGATTTTATTTAATCTTCTGAGACCTTCTAGCTTCCTGCTGAGGGCAGAGCTCTAGAAGTGTACTGATGCACTGAGATTTGAGCTGTTTGAGAACTTCTTCCATTACTGTATTAAAAGAACATGACCATGAACTCCTTGTACCTTTCATGGTTGATTAGACTGAGATTTATCAATATCTCTAGTAGCCCAGGGGTTGGGTAAGTGTTCTTGTGTGCCCAGGAGGCCTGTCATTTAGCATCAAAGGGACTTGGAAAAGGACAGCTTGTTCTGGGAATTGGCTAAAAGCCATTGGCTTGTCTTCACTTCTGCAAGAAGCTGCTGTGAAGTGACTGTCCCAGCTGATAATTGGCCTGTCCATGGGTACTTTGATATGTAAGGGACCCTCAAAACTGCCACACAGAATGTCCTGTTGCCTGAGACCATGCTAGGCTTGTAGTCAGCTGCCCTACCCTGCTTCTAGGACATTCAAAACTTAATTGTTTGCCGTTATCTGCTGTGTAGTGTTTGGATTGTCTAGTCCTTCAAATTTGAGGAAAAGTCAGAAAATTATGATTATATGAAATCTCCACACATTTCAAGGTGAAAAGTATTTTAAAAGTCTCAATCTAAAGGATGCTGCTAATCTTGGCTGTGTGTGGCTGCTGGTTTAGAGCCACAAAGTAGACATATTTAGGCCCTTTTTCCCCCTTTCACAGTTTTCTGAAGTCAAGGCCTACGGAAGTACAATACTTATGTCACTGGTAAGACCAAAGCCCAGGACTCTTAAATTTCTAGTTCCATTTGGTAACATAGTTGTTTACTTCTCTGCCTTTCTAGAGCTTTCATTCTGCAAAAGTTATAAGGAATCTTGCACTGGTGCTTCCTGGATTATTTCCAGTGGCACAGATCCCCATGCCTCCCCACCATTAAACTTGTCTGCTTCAGGTGGCTCATCTTACTGAAGTCCTGCTTCATGACTGTCTCCTTGTCCCTGCCATACTTATACTTGTACAGTGTTCTCTGCCCCGTGTGATTATTGGTGTCTCCAGTGTTAATCAGGTGAGGTTGTAAATGTTTTGAGTGACCACCACAAGCAGTTAAAGAGTGTTTGGTAAGTTTTGGCACAGTCAGCTTGGAAACTTGGCATTCTCCCTCGTGTTGTTTCTTTGTTGTGGGCCTCTAGACTTTGCCTTTTTTAGGGGTTCAAAACCTTAACCAATTGAGATTATGAAGACAGAGGAGTTTTGTGGTGGTTTTTAATCATCAGACTTTATAACTAATAATAAGATGGGTAAATGTGCCCTGAGACTTTTACTCTGCCATCACCAAACCCTGTTTTCCACTTGGTGCTCCAGATTTCCTAGCTTCCTACCAGGCTGTAGGTGCATTGGTCAGAAGATGATGTCCCTCATCCCCAGAGGGGATGGTACCTGCCACCTGAGTTATTATACATCCAAACAGCCCTGGTGTGAGAGAAATTGCTGTGGTCAAGGTGGAGTTGGGACAGATAGACCTTTGAATAACTGCTATCATTCTTTCAATCTAGAGCGGACTGAGAAACTCCCCATGGGGTCCATTAAAAACGTGGTCAGTGAACCTATAGAAGGACATGAAGACTACCACATGATGGTGAGTAGATTCAGCCTGCCTGGCCACCTGCTTCATCTTGAAGGAAGTGGATTTTTAATGGGGCATTGCTAAAAGAAAGCAGTCTTCAGAAGACTGTGGAGTTCCTTATGTTTTCTTGTTTAAAGTTGTGTCCTTGACCTTATTCCCAGTTGTGGTTTTGTTTTTGTTTTTTCTATCTCCCAGTAGTCCAAAGGAGGGTGTGTTTTCTCCTGTCCTTTTTAGAAATCTCTTTTGTCTCCCTCTTATTTGTAATACTTTGTTTTAGTCCAGGACAATGAATTGAAATGGCTTGTGGACTTTTAATTTTAAGTTTTGTCTTGTTTATAAAAGAGAACATCACCTTAGCCATGGGGCTATGAAGATACCAAGAAGTCTCTCTCCTATAGTGGTCTACCATGCCCAGCATGTGCCCACGTGGCCAGGAACCCTTTGGGAAGATGAGGCCCAGGGCATGCTTATTCTGCATGGAGCTCATCAGTTTGTGCAGAACAAAGCAGGCAGTTTAGTGATCTGATAAAACAAGCACCTTACAAATGAAGTTTACCTGCATAGACTCCAAAGTTGCTACAAGAGGCTTTTAACTTGGACTAGCAACAGTTCGAGGTTGGGTTTGCTTGCTGTTGTTTTCGGGGGACAATTTTTTCATTATCTAGTCATAATGATGCTGTCATATTTCTGCCCACTTCCATGAACAGCTAGTTGTTTGAACTGTGGGATTACCAAGTCCATGACACAGAGATATGTTGGACAACCTACTTGCTCTAGGGCAATCAATGAAAGGGACTTAGGATACAGTAGGCTTCAGAGCTGGTGTGTCCTTTCCTGCCTGCTCAGGATCAGCTGGGTGGTGCCAAAGCCAAAGCTATGGGACTGCTGTCACTGCACACAGATTTTTGGACTTTCTTCCTGGCAGTGACAATAACTTACTGGGGCTTCCTTTGGGGCCATCAGGCAGCCTCTACACCTTCACCTCTCTGTAATGTATAAAACAAGATAGCAGACAGATTGGTTTTGACTGCTCAGTTATTTTTCTGCTTTAACAGTTGATACTGGTAGTTTTAGCCTGGCCTTTTAACTCTTTTTTTGAAACATTTGTTTGAAGAGTTTGACCCTGTGGGGCTTACAAATCCTGTTCTTCTGGCAGCCTGGTTATGGGGAAGCAGATAGGGTGAATGGACTACATTAGATGTTTCCTAAGAAATTTGTGTCCATGAATATGGTTTAGAATTTAGTTTAAATTTAGTTAAAATGTGAAGTCATTTTTGGCAAAAAGTGGATTCAGCAGTTCCCTTCTGTCTTTTTTGAATGCCATTAAATAGCACTTTTATCCTTGTCCTAATGAAAGATTTGTTTCCCTCTTTCTCCAGATGCCACATTTATCTACTAGAGTAGTGTGTCACAGTTCACAGAGCTCTTTGATCTTTAGGGTTATATTCCAAAGATACAGGAAAGGACACACCTTACATTTTATACCATCATAACCCATATATTCATTACCAAATAGTTGTAAATATTTTGTAACTTGTTTTAAATCTTTTAAATAAAAATTTTTTACCAACAGTGATGTTGTCCCCATTGTCTTCCCATCCCCCTCCCTATTATTGTAATCTATCATGTATGCTCTTCATCTATCATTGCTTTTGTTTATACATATGTCCATGAACAAGATGGCATACTGTGTTCTGTTTTTTTTTTTTTTTTTTTTTTTTTTTTTTTTTTTTTTTTTTCAGTTTTCATAAATAGCTTTCATGGTATCTACCCTTCTGCAACTTGATGGTTTGGTTTAACATTGTGATCTGTCATAACTCTAGATCCAAAGAATCTGTTCATATCTTAATAAAGTCTCCAGTGTTTGTATGAATAGGCCACACCATTGTGAACTATTCCTTACTGATGGGTATGCAGGTTATTTGTCAGGATTTTAACATTTCACACAGTGCGCTTTAGACATTCATACCTGCTTCCTGTGTGTGAGTGACATGTTTTCTAGGGCAGCGGTCCTCAAACTGTGGCCTCTGGATCAGTAATTTTGAAATTACCTGGGAGCTTGCTAAAAGTTTCTTGGGCTTTGCCTCAGGCCTCTCAGACTAAAATCCAGGGGCTGGAGCCTGCAGTCTATTTTTGCAAGTCTTTCAGATGGTTCTGATGTGCACTGAATTTTGCAAACCACTGCCTTAGAGTTGGCTATGCTGAACTGAACTTTCCACTCCCCACTTGCCTTTTTACCCCCCACCCACCTCTTAAGCATAGGAGAAACATTTACACAGTTTTGTTTTTCTTCCCTTTTTAATCAGTTTGCTCCCCTCCCTCCCGCGTCTGTTGTTCTGCCTGCTTGGTCACCCTCCTCTGAAGCATCGCTTGGTTTTTCCTTTTCCCTTGCAGGCGTTTCAGTTGGGCCCCACGGAAGCCTCTTACTACTGGGTGTACTGGGTTCCAACTCAATATGTGGATGCAATCAAAGACACTGTGCTGGGCAAGTGGCAGTATTTTTGAAAGCACTTTCACCTCTGGCCCAGGAGACTGATCCAAAGTGAAGGACATTGCCGGGAGAGGTCTGCAGCATCCCTGGATTGCAGAGTTCTGGGACTTTGTTCACACACAAAAAAAATCTCTATTCAATCTGAGGTGATGTGGTGACTGAAGCCAGAGGTGATGTACTTTCACCGTTAGCTTAATTTGAACTTAAAATCACCGGTTCCCTTTCTTGCAGTCAGCTTACCATTTTAAAAGTCAGTATGGTGGAAATTAATAAATCCAAGTTTCGAACATGTGTGGAATACTCTTAAGTCTGTTTGAGAGTAGATCTGCCAGTAATGCTGAGAGGGAATAATCAAAGGCTTTCTGGTTATTTTCTTTGCTCTTTCTCTCTCCTTTCCTTTTTTTCTTTTTCCTTCTTCCTTTTTCTTTTTCTTTTTTTGGTTTTTACAAGTGATTTCAACTGAAATCTTCAGATGTCTTTGGTTGCTAACATTTGGACTGCATTGTGATGAGTTGGGTTTTTTTTTTGTTGTTGTTGTTGTTTTTTTTTCCTTGGTATTAAAATGGTATGCAAAATGGGGATGGTTAGTAAGCCATATTTTTTTTGTGTGTGTGCTCATTGATTGAGATTTTTTTTTCTCACTTTCGTATGATTTTTGTTTTAAACCCAAAGATGCCAGTTTCTCTTTTGGTACCTCATCTTCACCTCCTTGCCAGGCTCTCTCCCATGTGCTGCTGCTGCTGCTTGGGAATACACATGGGAAAAGCACAGCTGGTGGTCTTGGTATAGGGGCTCCCACCTTGCTTGGGTGTCCGCTGAGCAGCAGAGTATCTCTCACTTGACTCCTGTGTACATGTCTTACACTTTGGATCCCTGGTCTGGGGAGTTCCGCTGTTGGTTTGGTTGTCAGCCTTCTTTGAGCTGGACTTTGAAGCTCTGTCTATCACCACAGCCTGGGACTTGCTGCTCCAAGGCCCCCTGCTCTGAGGAGCTGGCTTGCCATATGGCCTCAGATCACATTATTTCTTTACTTGGGAAGTTTCCCAGAACTCCTTAAGTAGTCCAGTGGTTGTTTGAATTATGCTTCTCCATTTGGTCTTTCTGCTCATGCGTTCAGTTCAAGTGTCCTTTATCCCAGGTTCGGAGATGCTGCCTTTCTCATAGAAGACCTCTGACCCAGTGGGTTGGCCAGTGGTATTTCAACAACAGAGATGGATGGGATAAGTTGCTTTTAGGACCAGCTTGCTCTCCTGGTTTTAGCCCTGATGTTCTTTGTACACGTGAACTGCTGTCTTCTCTGTAAGCCTTGATTGACTGAAATGAGGGACAGTCTCTTGGTGGATAATCCCCTTTGTGCTGTTTGCTGTTTCTCTGCTGCCGTCTTTGCAATTCTCCTCTCACTGGTTGCAGGCTCTCATAATAAGGTTTGGTGAGAAACCTTCCCAGCGTCACGCTTTGGAATCTAAGCTGTTACCCGCCCTCATCCTGTGAAATGTATTCGCATGTTTTCGCCTAAGATGACTATTCCTTGTGAGCCAGTTAATGACGATATTTATGCCCTTCCCTTCTAAGCTGTAGTTTGGGAATCCAGCCCACATAGACAGACTCTTGCTTTTTGTGGTGTATTCAGTGCCAAGTTATGCATCTGGACAGGAAAACCTACTCTGCTTTTTGGGCGCGTTAGTAACGTATGCAAAATTCAGCGTCCAAGAAACTGCCTGTGTTTCAGCACCTCAGTGGTAATTGTGGATTTTCTGCTCTTGTTGGCCTGCAGTTCCTGGAGAAAGTACATTTTGCTCCTTGTCCCAGCCTCCTCCTGCACTTGGCAGGTCTATCAAGGAAGTAAGCAAGTGGCAGGTAGAGCATCTTCTTGGCTTGAATACTGTCATTTGTTTGCCAATGTCCCTGTCCTTGAGACTTGTCTGACAGTGCCACACACCCAGGCCTTTGTGTTCCCACCTTAGCTGAGGCTCCTTCTGCCAGCTCCCCCTTTTCTGTGAGGGTCCCAATGCTCTCTGCCTTTCCTCTTTCTAGTACACGTGCCCTGCTATTATCCCCCCCTGCTGCCCAAGCGCCAAACTGCTTCTCATGTAGGCTGGTGTCATTTCAAGAGGACCAAAGCCTCTATGAACCTTTTTATTTTCAGTAAAATGGTGCTTTTTCCTTACTTGGAGATATTCTCTATAAATAATATAAATGACACCTTTTCATATGGAGCTGTTTTGAGTATTGCTTTCCAGAGCTTGCTGAATCTGCTTGAGCTCTGGTTCCTGACCCTGTCAGCACAGAAGGCCTTGCCAGAAGCTCTCAGAAGGGCAGGGGCAGGCAGCGCCAGAAGCCCTGGGAATAAGTGTTCAGATCTGTCTGGGTCACAGCAGTATTTGCTATTTTGTCACTCAGTCCCTTGAGCAGTCTTTATATATTTCTTACCATGTGGAGTATACTGATTAAATCTATGTGAGCAAATTGAAATTCTCTTCCCATTAGGTAGCATCACAGTGTTTTTTCCTCAGGATTATTTCTGTACAATTCCTTCACTGTCAAATGAGAGGGCATGCAGGTAGCTAGCTCTTCTGGAGAAGGCTCTGGTGGCACATGAAGCTAGGTAGAGGAGTCTTTCTTATGACTAGTCATCTCCTAGGCTTGTCATCATGTAGCCACCGAAAGGGCTGTTCTCCCATCTACAGGTGGTACTGGTGGCCCTTCTGTAGGGCTGCCCTCACAGACACCATGCCTTCCTTTTCCTCTCTGAGGTGACTGGGCAGAAAAATGTGATCACAAAACTGCTGCTGAGCCTGGGTCCCTCAGCTCAGAGTACTCAGACTCAAGAGCTGCAGGACTTTGGTGAGTATTTTAATTCATGGTGGGCTTTGCGGATAGCTTTGGCTCCTCAATTAGGTTTGACTGGGCAAGGATGCACTTTCTTTCACAACATCATGTGGACATAGTTGGGGCCTGGTAAAGTCCTAAGTAGCTCCTTAATTGCTGCTTTCCCTTAAGAGGGCCAAAGAAATTAACTTTGCTACATTGCCACGTCTCAGAAAAGTTGCCATATCTCACCCAGAAGGGAATTTTTCCTTTTTTTAATGTGCCTGGAGGAGCATTGTGAGCTCTTGGAGTTGGCCTGCCCTTTTCTTTGCCAGGAGCTAAGAAGGGAAGGGATAGATAGATAAATGCCAAGGTCAGGTTTCTTTCCACCCATCTGCCGAGGGAGCCAACTTTCTCTTGCTCCTTAATGTTCAGCCCTGTTCCCTTGGAAAAGGATGGTCCCTTTGTCTTGAAGCTTTGTAATAAAGTCACTTCCAGTCAGGATAGGCCCATTTCCTTCTTCATAGGCCTAGAAACCTTCTTGAAGTCACAGTGGCCAGGAGCCCTCTGGTGTACAGGACAGCTGGTGGATTTAGCTGCCAGGCTGGGTGGTTCTGCTTTCTTGGTGTCTGAGAACCTTCTTTACCTTCCCTACAGAGTTCTGCAGAGGTATTTAACATTATGTAAGTACTGTTTCCTTGTGGTGTATACTCTGTTCTTGTTTGTTTTTAAATCAAAATGCCTGTTTGGGAGGAGATGAACGTATTTAGTCTATTAGATTTGCGCTGCTGGATTTTTTTTTAATGTGTAATCTTGACTAGCTGTCTTATTGTTTATCCTGTAAGATTAGTCTATCAATTAAAGTTTGATAATTAATTGCGTCTCTTTCCTTCCAATTCTTCATGCGCCTAATCTATTCTTGGGATTTAACATTTAGAGCTGTAGTCTGACTTGTATGGCTTTGAGTAATATATACAAGTTTATTTTCTGAAACAGCTGACAAGAAAATTTGATTTGATTTGAGTCTGAAATATCAGACTAATGAGTGTGCCCTCTTACTAGGGCAGCCCTCTGCCATGCATGCCTCCAGTTAGGGGAAGCTGCTTCTCTGTTCTAACTGAAAATCCTGTACCCTTGCCAGCCATCTAGCCTTCAAAGACATTTAAGAAACAATGGAAACAGCCACAACTAGAGCCACGTGCTAAAAAGACCCAAGAAGGAAAGGGGAGGAAGAAAATTATCAGAGTTTTCTTGTAATAGGACAGGACCAGAACCCTTGGCATCAAGGGTGACAGTTGGTCACATTGTGGCATAGTTTACCTAGTCTCTCACATGTTCGACATTTTCCCCTTCCCTCCATTGTGCAAATATTCCTGATGGTTCTGATCTCCCATTTTTCTATTTTGCTAATACCTCATATTTTTGAAGCAGCACTGAAAGGTTTTTTTTTTTTTTTTTTTTTTTTTTCTTTCTTTTAGATAGAGGCTTGCTAGCTAGTGTAAGCCAGCCTGGAACTCAGGATCCTCCCACTTTACCTTCCTAAAGGACTGCAGGCATGTGCTGTGATGTCCAGCTTCACAGATTTTTTTTGTTTTTGTTTTTTTGAGACAGGGTTTCTCTGTGTAGCTTTGGAGCCTATCCTGGCACTTGCTCTGGAGACCAGGCTGGCCTCGAACTCACACCGACCCCCCTGCCTCTGCCTCCCGAGTGCTGGGATTAAAGGCGTGTACCACCAAGGCCCAACCAGCTTCACAGATTTTCATGAGAATTTTTATTACACTTTTGTGTGTGCACACATACTGAGTTTGTGCACACATGTCATGATGTGTGTGGAGATCAGAGGACTGCTTTTGGAAGTTGGTTCTTTTCTACTACCATACAGGTTCTGGGATGGAAAGGCTTGGGCAACAGGGAAAGCCACAGAGCCATCTTGCCAGCCCACCACTAGATTCTTAAAGATCTAAAAGCAAAACTAACAGCTTGAAAATAAAAATGGCCCTGGTCAACTACATCAAGGAGATGTGGCTAGGGTAATCAGAGGGGTAGAAAAGTACCCTTGGCAGTTGTGTGGCAGAGGTCTCATGGCAGGAAGCATCTCATGCCTACTTCTTAGCCGGCTATGGCTTAAGTACAAGTGGGAAGAGACCCTGTCTCTACCTCTGAGGACTGTGTTCTTATAGGTTCTTTACTGTGGAAACAGTTGTTAACTTTGCTTTTTCTCCAACTTTTCCTTGTTCACCCCATTTTTCAACTAATTTTTAAATTTCTCACTTTTATGCCTTCTGCCCTTATCTAAGTCCTTTGCTTTTTTTTTTTTTTTGCCCTTAATACTTTTTTCTTTAATTGCATATATAAGTACATATTTGCCAAATTGCTCATGTGAGGAGGTCAGATGAGGAGGTCAGAGGACAAGTTAGTGAACTTGATTTTGTCTTTTCACATTGACTAGATTCTAGGAATCCAACTCAGGTTACCAGGTGTGT